AGAGCGGTAAGTCCAGAGAAGGTGACACTGAGAGCTCACACTGTGCCCTTTTGTCTTTCTTAGTGGCCACCATCACTCCAAACATGCCCGGCCTTAGTAACCGCTCCATCTCTGTCTGTGATCGTCCCTGCAGCTAGCCTGCCTGGGCGCACACGCCTTCTCTTCAGCCCATCTCTCTCTCCCCTTATCCCATTGCTCTTTTCCTCCCTTCACTTTCCGTCCGTTTCGTGTCTCCGCAGATCTGGTGAACGACCCTTCTACAGATGAAACAGGTGATGTTCACTAAAGTTCTTAAGAAATGCACGATCTGGTAAAATTCACAATATTTGTTCCAGCTGCTGAGTTCATCCTGTGTTTTTTAGCTCTGGAAAAGGGTGGGTGGTGGGAGTGTCCTTCGGTGACTGGCAGTGATATAAAAAGAGACAGAAACTTGCTAGTCCCCTGCAAGGAAGGAACCGGGTTGAAAGGGTGGCTCAACTTGCTACTAAGCCTGAGGAACTAATTTGACATGGTGGGAGGAGGAAACAAACTCCTAAACATTGTCCTCTAATCTCCATACACGTGTGGTACATGCACTCTTGTGCACACGCGGGAACATACATACATAATTAAACCAACGAATGTAAATTTAAAAAAAAAAAAACAATGTGGATCAATAGCCCAGTATGAGGCCGGGCAGTGGTGGCACACGACTTTAATCCCAGCACTTGGGAGGCAGAGGCAGGAGGATCTCTGTGAGTTTGAGACCACCCTGGTCTACAGAGTGAGTTTCAGGACAGCCAGGGCTACACAGAGAGACTGTCTCAAAAAAACAAAACAAAAAGACCTGTATGGGGGCTGGAGAGATAGTTTAGCAGTTAAGAGCACTGGCTGCTCTTCCAGAGGACCTGGGTTCTTTTCCCAGCACCCACATGGCAGCTCACAACTGTCTGTGTATCTAGTTCCACCTTCACACAGACATATGTGCAGTCAAAACACCAATGCTCATAACAAAAAAGACCTGTATACTAAAGATATCCAAAGATCAGTATGTTAAGAGCGCCAATATTCATCCAGAAACATCCCCCGTTACTTCAAGTAATTCTCTTCCCCTGGACCTTGCCCTTACTCTGCTATCACCAGGCCCCCTTGTCCTGCTGCTCCTTTCCCTCGCAGTTCAAGGCCCTTCTCACACCTACTGTTTTGTGCCTTTTCAGTTCTGGCCGATATCACACCTTCCACAGATGACCTGGGTGAGTTCAGATCTGGGACCCCTGGGCCACCAGGGCCATTCTGGGTTTTCCCCCAGAGCCCATACAGAAGGCAAGGCAGCTGCTGAAGTATCCTAAACAGAGCTCCAATTTGTGTAACACATCCTTCCAGCCATTTCTTTTAAGTTAATAGCAGTTTTGGTCCCTGACAAGCAGGAATTGTGCAGTTTAATATACAAAATATGGAGACAAGATCTTTCAATGCTTCCAAGCCTTGGTGGGTAAAGGCACCGAGCAGAGGGCGCCACATGGAGGAAAGCAGGCCTTTTAGAACTGCACCCTGGCCCTAGGTTGGTTTTTTGGGGGAGGAGGGATTGTGGCTTTTGTTTTTTGTTGTTGTTTTGTTTTAGTTTGAGACAGGATCTCTCTCTGTAGCCCTGGCTGGCCTGGAACTCATGACATAGACCAGGCTGACTCCAGATTCACAGAGATTTGTCTGCCTCTGCCTCCTGAACACTGAGGTTGAAGATGTGTGCCGCCACGCCCAGGTCCCCAGGTGATTGCTGACAAATGGTTTTAAAAGCCAGCTGCTATGTGTCATCAATGTAAAAGTGAGCAAAAGTGAATTTCTGCCAGGCTGGGTGACACATGCCTTTAATCCCAGCACTTAGGAGGCAGAGGCAAGTAGATCTCTGTGAGTTCAAGGCCCATCTGGTCTACAAAGTGAGTTCCAGGACAGCCAGGACTGTTACACAGAGAAACCCTGTCTTGAAAAAAAAAAAAAAGTGAATTTCTTCTCCCAGGTATCTTCTGTCCAATAGGCAATAGAATGTGTATAGTTATTTAGCCCCACCAAATGTTATCAGTGGGGTTAGCAAGAGGAAGCTGTGAGAAACTGGAAGTGTTCCTCTCTGTGTTCAGTTTGGGGGGGCAGGGAAGGGTTTTCGTAGGGTTCTGTTAACTGGATGTTTTTCTTGGGAGAGAGTCAAGGGAGTAGGAGGGGCTCCCTACAGGGAAAGACAACAAGGAGTGTCAAAGGCATAGGGCAGGAATGAAGGCCTGAGGAAGTCTGAGGTAAAGGAAGCTTTTCTTCAGTTCTGTGGACTGGGAAGATCACACTCTGCCCCCACCTTCCCTTTCCCACGCGGTAGGGCCAGGATGGAAGGGATTTAACCATAAGCAGCCTGCAACAGCAATCTCAGTTAAGGATGGCCGGAACAAAGGCCAAGGAAGAGGGCGTGAAAGGCTAGCTTCATGGTAGAGGGACTGCCATGCTGGTGACTGGTGAATGCCATTCACCTGAGGAACAACCCAAACTGGCAATCGCTTGTTGAATTTGAAGACTCTCCAAAAAGACAGTAACCTGCCTAAGGTACCAGTCAGACCAGTGTATTCTGAGCTTCAGGAATGAGATCTGAATGAGAAACACAGGATTGGGATTTTGGACACAAGCATTCGGCAAGGGCTGGAGAGAAGGCTCAGTGATTAGGAGTTCTTCCAGAGGGACCTGGGTTCTTTTTCCAGTGCACACTTGGTGGCTCACTCTAACTCCACTCCTAGGGAATACAGTGCCCTCTTCTGGCCTCCTCAGGCACTGCACACGTGGGATATACAAATATTCATGCCAGTAGAGCACCCAAGCTCATAAAATAAAAACAAAGATTAAAATTTTTTTTTTTTTTTTTTGAGACAGGGTTTCTCTGTGGCTTTGGAGGCTGTCCTGGAACTAGCTCTTATAGACCAGGGTGGTCTCGAACTCTCAGAGAGCTGCCTGCTTCTGCCTCCTGAGTGCTGAGATTAAAGGTGTGCACCACCAATGCCCGGCCTAAAATTCTTTTCAAAAGAAGAAAGAAATCCCAGCACTCGGGAGGCAGAGGCAGGTGGATCTCTGTGAGTTCGAGGCCAACTTGGTCTCCAGAGCGAGTGCCAGGATAGGCTCCAAAGCTACACAGAGAAACCCTGTCTCAAAAAACCAAAAAAAAAAAAAAAAAAAAAAAAAAAGTAAAAAAGAAATCAAGCATGACATCTTCCCAGAGAACTCCTGGTGGTCGGGTTGGTTTCCTCACTCCTCTGACTCCTAACTGTAAACTAGGTGCACATTAAACTCCGCCTAGGTCAGTGTGGGCTGTGAGCCTGGCCCCTCCTATTCTTCACTCTAAGCCTCTCATCAAAGAGGCTGTGATTAGGAACCCCTCTTACAGAGAAGAGGCCTTGTCTGGGGAGAAACTCCTACAGGCAGTGGGCCCCCTCTGCTCAGCTCTAAGGCTGCAGGTCTTCTGAGTAGCAGAGCCCTTTGTCTTGTGTTTCCAACAATTTGCTAGCTACTGCTGAGTATGGTGGTATATGCTTGTAATCTCAGCCACCTGAGAGGCTGAGGCAGGAGAATCACTCAAGCTCAGGGGTTTGAAACCAACCTGGGCCACATGGGGAGGCTTCCCATCTCTTCAAAGTTTTGGGTTTTTGTTGTTGTTGTTGTTATGTAGCCCTGACTGCCCTGGAACTCTAAACAGACCAAACTGGTCTTGAACACACAGCAATCCACCTGCCTCTGCCTCCGGGTGCTGGGGTCAAACTTAGACTTGCACCACCATGATTTCTTTTTATCAATTAACACGATGAGACCTTTAATTCAACAATTCCTCCACTCTCCAGGAGAGGAAGGTGAAAGCCAGGACACCATCTTAATTCTTAAGTCTCTTTGCTTGTGTGGCTGCAATCATCCCTTCCAGAAGTCACTAAGAGTCGTCAATTCGTTTGTTCTTTATTCTGAGTATCCTGACTGGGTCTGAGTGAACCACATGGAGGTGGTGATTTCTAGAATTATTAATAACTTAATAAAATTTCTACCTTCCAGCCTCAGCCAGTGACAAAAACACTACTGCAGGTATGGATGTTATTATTATTATTATTATTATTATTATTATTATTATTATTATTATTTATGTGTTTGGGTGTTTTGCCTGCATGACAGTCTGTGCACCACATGTATGCAGTACTTCTGGAGACCAGAAGAGGGCGACAAATCCCTTGGGATTGTAGTTCTAGATGGTGTGAGTGCTGTGGACAAGCCCACCTCTGCCTCCTGAGTGCTGGGATTAAAGTGTGCCACCACCACACAGCTGTCTTTCCTTTTCTTTTTTAAAGATTTATTTATTAACATGCTTTATGTATATGGGTGTTTTCTCTGCATGTATATCTGCACACCAGAAGAGGGCATTGGGTCCCACAGGACTACAGTTATAGACAATTGTGAGCCACCATGTGGGTGCTGGGAATTGAACTCAAGACCTCTGGAAGAGCAGGCAGTGCTGTTAACCGCTGAGCCACCTCCCCAGCCCTATCATAGGATTGTTTGTACATGTCTTTTCTTAAACTTTTCTCCCTATAGATTCTTTACTCCTTGTTCTTTGAGGAGCCTTAGGCTCATTTTCTAGTTTCTTTTTAGTTCTCCATCAGATAGTAGTTTCAGGGTTCTTCATCCCCTCAAGGTCATTTTCCCTTTTTTGGGGGGGGGTAGTTCGAGACAGGGTTTCTCTGTATTGTTTTGGAGGCTGTCCTGGAACTAGCTCTTGTAGATCAGGCTGGTCTTGAACTCACAAAGATCCACCTACCTCTGCCTCCCAAGTGCTGGGACTAAAGGCGTGCACCACCACTGCCTGGCAATTTTCCTTCTTTTCAAAATGATCTTCTGTCCTAAAAGCCACAGGGAAAAATATGACCACTTTTGACGGTCCTCAAACCACCTTCTCTCTAAATGGCCTTTGGGCTTTATTTGCTAATTAAAGCATTAGGGGATGAATCAGCTTTGACTGTAAACTCCATGTTGCTGTGACAAGATGGTTGACATTGGCTCCTGTAATGTACTTGTGATTCTGACCTGCAGCCACAGCTTAGAACACGAGAACAGAGCAAGGCACCTGTGCCTAAGCATTCGAATTCTTCAGAACGAGACCATCAGATTTCATGGTCGAGTTTCACATTGCTACCTGAATAGTCCTAGAAAGACTCTTTTTTTTTTTTTTCCCTAGACGAGTCCTCAGAGTTTATTTTACCTACTTCTGCTCCCATGTTGGGAAGTACCTAAATTTCATTTGAGTCAATTTTCTCTAGCTCTGTTTTTGGTGAACAAGAAAGGCATGTCCCCAATACAGTGGTTTTTGTAAAGACTGCTCCATCTCCCCCATTCTGAACCCCTACTTGCAGCTCGTTAGCCCTAGGCTTATATTGCTTCTATTTGGACTTCCCTATTTTTTTGTGTGTGTTGGGCAGAGTGCCGGGACGAGAAATTTGCTTGTACCAGACTGTACTCTGTCCATCGGCCAGTAAAGCAGTGTGTTCATCAAGTCTGCTTCACCAGGTAAGAGAGACCAGAATGCCCAGAGTGGCAATGTTTGTGTCAGTGACTAGTTAATGAACACTCACCACCCAACCGCAGTCTGAGATGGGCCAGAGGTTGTTAGCATAACCCATCCAACCATTTCTGAAGGTGCTGCCTAGAACTCGGCATCTGGGTTGAAGCGGAGGTGAGGACCATATAGGAAGGACGATCGTGAGAGACACTGGTGTGTTGCATTAGCTGGTTGGAAGCTGAAGCAAAAGAGCCAGCTCAAAAGTGAAAAACAATGGAAAGGAGTATTAGGGCTGGACAACAAGTGAAATATGCAAAGTGCCAACAAGAAGAGTAATTAGTATCCATTTCTTTTTGTTTTGTTTTTATCATTAAAACCATTTCTTTGTCAGCCGTTGGTGGCACTCGCCTTTAATCCCAGCACTTGGGAGGCAGAGGCAGGTGGATCTCTATGAGTTTGAGGTCAGCCTGGTCTACAGAGCGAGTTCCAGGACAGCCTCCAAAGCCACAGAGAAACCCTGTCTTGAAAAACCAAAGCAAAACAAAACAAAACAAAACAAAAAAATTTCCATCCCCCACATTCTGCTGAGGGAAAGATTACTTAAAAATTACATACTTGAGAAAATCTAGACAAAGGGAGGCCAGTGGGGAATAAGGAGGTGAAGAGGGACCCTGGCCAGACCCTCTTACCCTCTCTGTCTCTTTCCATGACTGGCACTGTGGCAGTTTACGGCGCATGTACATCATCAACAATGAGATCTGTTCCCGACTTGTCTGTAAAGAACACGAAGCTATGAAAGGTAAGATGGTGTCAGGTGGTCAGGGGACCAGACAGTAATGAGAGGTAAATACAGCATGATGCCATTGGATCCAAGGCCTGGTTTCTAAGGAGGATGCTGGGCAAATAACTCTCTTGCTTTCCATCAGCCCCTGTTGGAAGCTACACTGAATAAACTGACTATACCCTAACCAATTACCCCCGTCCCCTTCCCAGCTAGACTGCACCCCCCAGCTCTTCTACAGTGGGAATTTTCTGAAGCTCAAGATGTTCCTACACTTTATTTTTTAGATAATAGAAACAATCTTTAGTGTATGAGTGTTTTACTCAAATGTATGTGAGCATACAGACCAAGGGAGTCAGAGGACGACACTGGGGACCCTGGACCTGGAGCAACAGATGGTTGGAAGCCACCATGTGGATGCTGGGAACTGAACCAGGGTTCTCTGCGAGAGCAGCCAGTGTTCTTAACTGCTGAGCCATCTCTTCAGCCCTTCTCTGGCTCCTTTATGTCCTCCCTTTGAGGTTCTGAGGAATAGCCAAGTCTTCATTACAAATAATAGACTCAATGGCCATGTTGATCGTCAGCCATGTTCACAGCTCTGAAAACAACACAGGCACATGCATGCATGTTTGGAGACAGGAGAGTTTAGATAGGATCCATGAGTAGTAAGGCATTTTGAGAATGATTACATTATAAACATTCCACCAATTCAAGAAAGCATTTACATTGCTTATTTTGACATTTCCAAGGCAGGGAAAGGTGGGAAGATGTGAAAAAGAGTAATTTTCGAGGCTCCAAAATGTATGGCTGTAGACCATGCATGGTGGGAACAAACATGCTTCTCACCTTCCCCACGGACAGCCCCGAATGACTGCTGTGGTTGGCGTCAACACCACACACACAGGCACTTTTGACTCAGTAGCCAGCTTTGCACTGGGTTCCTGAGTAAGAGCTGTAGTTGACTTCGCAGAAGGAAACTCGCTGCTTGCCCCATTGGCTCTGTGCAAGCCACCTGCGAGGGAAACACCTTGACAGGGACTATGAGTGTTTGGAACTCTAGGCACTTTCAAGTACCTCAGGGGACTTACTGCAGTTGGCTGTTGTAAACACCTAAATGCGGGCTGAGTGACTGGACTTCATTTTTTTACTTAGTAGGTCCATGACTAGAACTGGGAGCTGGGAGTATAAGGGAACTAATTCTGCACACAGGGTTTCATCTCGGTCCTCACAAACACGCCGCTGAGGCAGGCATTAACGCCTACTTAAGACAGGGACAATGAGGCACATACAAGATTAGAAACTTTCTAGTAAGTTCCAAGTATCCAGAATGGCACATCTGAATGTATTCTCCTGGCTCTTCTCCCCCTCGTGTTTTTATGGTATCGCACTGAAGCTTCTTTCCCTTAGAATGAGAGTCCGAGTAACGATCCCGCGTCCTCCCACAATGCTCTGCTTTTCCTCTAGATGAGCTTTGCCGGCAGATGGCAGGCCTGCCTCCAAGGCGACTCCGACGCTCCAACTACTTCCGACTTCCTCCGTGTGAAAACATGAATTTGCAGAGACCCAGTGGTCTGTGATCATCAAGGAAGAAAGAAGGAAGTGTGGGGAAGAGGAATCAGACATTCGTTCTCCGTCATCTACCCCATAGACATGTATTTTTTAAACTAAGCCCTTTGCAATGTCCAGGCTTTGACTCTCCTCTCTAATTTTCCCCAGAACTGGTAACTCTTGTCTCATTTTGCCATTCCGACAATACAGTGTCTATATTGTTGCATGGTTTCACTGATTTCCAGTATTGTAGACAAGGGGGACAGATGATGACCACACGACTTAGGCACATTCTAAGGGCTTGAGGGGCGTGGCTCAGTGAGAGGATTTACCTAGCATGTGAGAAGCCCTAGGTCTGGTGGTGTAAAACTGAGCAGAGTGGTGCAGGAAGATCAGAACTTTAAACTCATCTTTGGCTACACATCAAGTTTGAGGGCAGCATGGGCTATGTGAGACCCTAATTTCAGAAGATAGCTTTGGGTTAATGGTCTTTGTTTTTGTTTTTAAATGGTGCTATGGATTTTAATGGTGCTTGTACATACTAGTCAAGAGCTCTGCCACTAAGCTGCACTCCTAGCCCCTAAGTGAGTAGCTGCAATTATTGAATGCATCAGCAACAGGAGTGTGGGAAAGGCTCTGTTCCTCAATTTTGGCTAGCCACAGAACTTCATTCAGTTGCCTTCTAGATGTTTCCTAGACTATTGCCTCATCATTTACATAGTGCTTCTCTACTCGAAACATTTTGCAAGTCTTCTTGACAAGAAAGGTCATGGGTGGGCCAGAGGAGGTGCTCAATAGCTCAGAACACTGGCTGTTCTTCCACAGGACCTGGGTTCATGAAAACCTTTGTCTGTCGGGAGGCAGAGGCAGGCCGATCTCTGTGAGTTCAAGGCCAGCCTGGTCTCCAGAGCGAGTGCCAGGATAGGCTCCAAAGCTACACAGAGAAACCCTGTCTCGAAAAACCAAAAAAAAAGAAAGAAAGAAAGAAAGAAAGAAAGAAAGAAAGAAAGAAAGAAAGAAAAAGAAAAAAAGGAAAAAGAAAGAAAGAAAGAAAGAAAGAAAGAAAGAAAGAAAGACCTTTGTCTGAAAAACTCAACAACTTTCTGTAAAACCCAATGCAATGGAATTCTAATGAGAACCGGGCAATGACCATTGTACCTGACAACAGGAATTGGATTCCTTGAATAATACTGAGAAAAGGAGCTAAATGGGGGCCAGATTCTTGCTATTAGGAAACCATTGCGTTTAATGGGATCTGCAAAACTGATTAAAGAGAAGAGCCTAGAAAAACCCAAATCGTTCACTTTCTTCCCCTCTTCCTCTAGAGTTAAGCACTCTGGTGTGTAGATAAACAGATTAAAGGCATTATTGCAGCCACAGTACGGAAACCTCACAGGCTCAGAGATTCAAATAAGCATCTTAAGTATCCCTTCCTGGGACTGAAGAGATGGTTCAGTGGTTAAGAGCACTGTTTGCACTTCCCAAGGCTCCTTCAGGTATAATTCCCAACATCCACCATGGTGGCTCACAGCCATCTAACTCCAGTTCCGGTAATCCAGTGCCCTCTTGTGGCCAGGGCAGACACTAGCCACTCAGGTGGTGTACAGGTAAAATAATAAAATAAAAAAAGAGCAGGGTTAAGGGCACTTCCTCCTCTTTGAATCCAGTTCCCAGCCCCTGACATTCTTCTGTGGCCTTGGAGTACTCTTATACAAACATATACACGTGAATAAAATAATTCTTAAGACTCTTTCATTAGCCAGGCGTTGGTGGCCCACGCCTTTAATCCCAGCACTCAGGAGACAGAGGCAGGCGGATCTCTGTGAGTTTGAGTCCAGTCTGGTCTACAGAGGGAGTTCCAGGACAGGCTCCAAAGCTACACAGAAACCCTGTCTCAAAACAAAACAAAACAAAACAAAACAGAATCTTTTCATAAGGCTTTTAAATATCAAAATAGTGATACAGACATTATCCTGTTTTTGGTTTTTGTTTTGTTTGTTTGTCTGTTTCTCAAGACAGGGTTTCTCTGTATAGCTCTGGCTGTCTTAGAACTCACTCTGGCCAGATGGTGGTGGCACAGACTTTTAATCCCAGCACTCGGGAGGCAGAGGCAGGCGGATCTCTGTGAGTTCGAGGCCAGCCTGGTCTACAAGAGCTAGTTCCAGGACAGTCAGGGTTACACAAAGAAACCATGTGTTGAAAACAAAAGAAGAGGAGGAGGAGGAGGAGGAGGAGGAGGAGGAGGAGGAGGACTGTCCTTATCTGCCCTACCTTCCACTGCACAACTTTATTGATGCTCCTCCAACCTTCCAAATTCGCTAACTTGCCTCCAGCTATGTCCAGCCCCTTTCCTCTTTGGCAGTCTTTGGTGTAACAGCCTGTAAAGTTGTCCACTTTCTTCTTTTTCCTTTTGCATGACCAAATGCCTGTGTTTTGCCATTTCTTAGTGTCCGTATGTTCTCCACACTTTCTGTGGGTGTGTGCATTTTGATGTATATGTGCGGTTTGTACACGTGCATGTGTGAGTTCATGCACCCACAGGCTCATCCAAAGGCCAGAAGAGGACGTCAGATGTCCTTGTCTATCTCGTTCCACCTTATTTCTTACACCAGGATCCAGGCTTAGCCATCCTGACTCTGAAACCTGAATAGCACTGGGGTTGCAAGTGTGAGGAGGACAACACCCATCATTGTTTGTGGGTACCGAGGATTTGAACTTAGGCCCTCAGGTTTGTGTAGCAAAGGCTCTTACCACTGAGCCATCTCTCCAGTTCTCTCTACACATTTTGGTGGTGATGAGGATAGAACCCTCGGCCTTATGTATGTTAGGGAAAGTCCTCTACCTCTGAGCTGTATCTCCAGCCCTGAACTCTTACTTGCATCTGGTACATTAATGTTGGAATGAAAGGGATTGCTACCAATGTCCTTTAGAGGTTGGGCGCTTCCTGGTGTCCTGAGTAGAAACTGTCTCCTGTCTCCCTATACAATTCACCCTTACTTGCCCATCCAAAATTGAGTTGATCCTACTCAGCACCTAACTAACCTTCTCAACGTCATGCCTAAGATTCAAGAACATTCTCTCTTCTTCTCGAATGAACTCGGTCTCAAAACTCAAGTGTGAGCTCTATTCACTGGAGGTCTGTGCACACTTTCCTTTGGTGTGTTTTTGACTCAGAGGAAGCTGGTTCAAAGCCAGCTGGTTTCCCTGCCATGGCACTTAACTTGTGATGACACCAAGCCGTGCATGCTGTCAACCACAAGCTCCTCCCCACTTCACTTCAGAGTGATGCCTAGCCAAAGGCTGCACCCCTGCTGGGAGGCACACTCAGCTTGCACCTCCTGTCCTGAAGTGGCTGTGACACAGTGAGGAAAGGGCAGACTCCGAGAGGAAACTGGTGGAATATGGAAAGAACATCAGGAAACAGAGTCTTTGGATGGGAGAGTAATGACCGGCGAACACCAGGGCAGTGGAGCAGACGGGGGTTCTCAAATTCCAGATTCAAACAGAAATCATACCGAGCTTCCCCAAGAGATTGGGACACTTGGGGTAAAATGGAGAAAGATGGAGAAGCACAGAGGAAAGGAGACTAGCCTGTCTGTGTGGTTTAGGCCTCATGGTGCCATTGGCAGGAGGTTCGACCATTTAGCTAGGGCTACTGGCACAGCCTGTAATCCTGGCTCTTCAGGGGGTTGAGACAGGAGGATCACAAGCTTAAGGTTTGTGTGGGCAACTTAGTCAAACCGTCTGGAAATTTATATTTAAGAAAGTAAAAAGGGATCTAGGGACATAGTAAATGTAATGCCCTGGCTTGGCTCCCAGAGCCAAGGAAAGACAAAAAGACAAAGGACAACTTGGTAAAAATGGGTACCTTGTATAAAAAAAATTGATACCTTGTATTTAAAAAATGGACACCTTGTATTTTCACTAAGCAAACATCAGGGAAAGTGTCATGTTAAGTTTCTCTGTGAGAGTGACAGGTGGTCACAGTAGTTTTGAGTCTCTTTCCCCCTTTTGCCTCCCCCCCCCCTTCCTTTTTAAAAACCAGTCAAGCATAACCAAAGCAGCACTCAGACGATGACTTCTGGGCAGAAACCAAGAAGGGAAAAGCAAATGTTGTTTATATAAATAGACATGCAGGGCCCATAGCTTCCTGTTAACAAATTGAGCTTTGCTTTACCTCAAACCCTCACGTTTTTTTATAAGTGGCTCATAATGGTATGTGCTTTTTTCAATTTGTCCAATCACTGAGTTAGGGTCTTGCTTTTGTCCTTAGGCCTAGGTCCTGAAGTTTCCATATCTTTGATGGCCCTAAACAACCTTTCATTCTAAATAGCCTGAGTTAAATGGGCATATTGGTGCAGGCCTGTAATCCCAGTGTTTGGGAGGTGGGAGAGGAAGGTCAGCCCAAGGTTAGCCTTGGCTACATATTGAGTCTGAGACAAGCCTGGGCTTCATAAGCTCCTGTCTTACCACCCTCCAAATTAATCTTAGTTATACTTAAAAGATTGCTGGATATTAAGGTATCAGTGCATCATTATATACCATATCCTAATATTTTCTGTCTCAGTGAACAAGCACAAGGAGTTACAATGAAAGTTAACGAGAACAGCACAGAAAATTGTTTCCTCTACTTATATAAAGTTATACACACACATTCCTCAATTCTTTAGTGTGTATGGGAACACAGGTGTGTACAGGTACACTTGCCTGTGCATGCACATGTAGAAATCAAAAATCAACTTTGGGTGTCATCTTCTGTCTTTCTCCACATTAGTTTTCAAGGCAGGGTCTCTCTCTGAGCCTGGAGCTCACTGTGTGAGTTAGATTGCCTGGTCAGTGAGCTCCTGGGACCCACCTATTCTGATCTGCCAGCACTAGGCTGCAGGTGTGAGGAGCTCCTGGAACTCACCTATTCTGATCTGCCAGCACTAGGCTGCAGGTGTGAGGAGCTCCTGGAACTCACCTATTCTGATCTGCCAGCACTAGGCTGCAGGTGTGAGGAGCTCCTGGAACTCACCTATTCTGATCT